GTGTCCTGTTTTTCCCTATTGGTATGGTTCCCCCATGTTTCAGTTATTCTGTGTGCTGCGATGCATACTGCAAGGTGGGATAAGAAAAACGAGTCTTCTGACAGTAAAGAACCTAGGGAGGGGTCATGTCCTCATTGATTGCATTGAGTGTCCTCTTGGTTGCAAAGGGCACTTGGGTCAAAGGGAAACAGAGGGGTGAGGGGTGTGAAAAGCCCAGACAAGGCATCACAAGCTTTATAAGAGCTAGAAGCCAACATAAAAGGGAACCCCCCACTGTTGAGGCAACTAGACAGATGGCTTGTATACAACAGAACGAATCAAACTAAATAGTTAGTTCAAAACTGGTGTTCTTGTCATTCACAGAGACTAGCAAAGAAATGATGGAGCGAAACGATGAAAATGTGCACCTCTCCATCTGTCACCTCAACTAAATCTCTGCAGATGAACGGTGGTTTGGGTTTGACCATATGATCTGGGAGTACAAGTCAATCTCTGAGTCGATAGCCGAGTTCAGATATTAGACTTTGCTAATGTCAAATAGGACCTCTACCAAAACAACTACCTTCTGCAAGACCAAATGACACAAAAACTTTAAAACCATAGAGAACAGAACAAGTGGCCAGTAGAGTGCTGTCATGCTTTATTAACTTCAGACAACTTTAATGTGCCTGAAACCACTCAGTAATTGCAGTGGGCATTATGACCAGACCCCCACCAAGTGACAGGGTCTGGCTGACATATGGCGTATTGCAGATAAAGTCTCTGAAACAAGCTGCCTACGTACAGAAAGTCATTTATTGGAGAGAATTAGGAGAAAACTAATTAAAAGGCAGTGAATAAAAATCCTCTTTCAGTTGATGCTTACCTTGTAGCCTAAAGAAACTGAATCTGATTATCGGCTTATATACATTTTCTTATGTGGCACCTTGCAAAAGTGTTCTTTCCCTTTACATTTTTGGCTAAATTTGCCAAGTTACAAACACAAACCTCAAAGGTTTTTAATGAGATTTATGGGAAGGGCATAACAGTCGTATGTAGAGGGAAACCAAAGCGGAAGAATTGTGTTTTTGTTTGCAAAGCCCCACTGTGATTATTACCAACTGCTCTTAAAGCAGTTCAAGAATCTGTAAACACCTATTTTAAAGTTTTATTGATTCTCAGATGTAAAAATATTTAACTTTGACTCTGCCCTTCTAACAAGTGAATATGCTTTGATAAAAACAGTTCCAATGCAGCTTTGGGTTTATGTTGGGTCCTTGTCCGGCTGGAATAAAACTCTGTCTGAATCCTCCAACATGCTTTCATCAGGTCTTTATAGCTCCATCTGTCTTCCTATTAACTTTCAACAGGCCCACTAAAAAGGCCTCCACACAGCATAATGCTGCCACCACTACATATTACAGTTGTAATGTGTTTAAGGTGATACACAGCAATGCCAAAAAGTTACCTTTTTGTTCCTATATGACCAGAGCATTTTTGAAGACCCTTTTAATGTTGTTCAAATCAATGAAGCTGTTGCATGAAATATCTTCTTCCCACCATTTTTGTTAGTTGTCATTTCAGATCGTCTTTATATCTCTGCAGATCTTCCAGAGTAACCTTTGACTATTTTTGTTAAGCGTGCTGTTTGGTAGCTCAGGTGGACAACCATGTCTTGGAAGGTCAGCAGTTGTGCCATTCTGCTTGAATAGAGGCTGTTTAGATTTCCAAAGTTTTAGATAGTGTTTTCCAACTTCTTCCATCTTTAGTATCAGGTTTATTAATTTAATGGTTATTGCAAATATCTCAGGTCTTCAAGATAGCTGTGCTAATGAAGTAAGATTACACACATGTTGACAGTTAGGGTCTCTTCCCACCTGCCATGTTTGGTCAATTTAAACATTTCTCTCTCCTGGTCTGACTTTTTGTGCAGCTGTTAATCAAGATGAAAACAACCAGAACGGGACCTACTTTTTAAGGTGATCTTAGTCCGCATCCAAACGGACTCTAGTGTGGTTCGCTTGAATACAAATAAGCCTCAGTCCTACTCAGTTACAGAAAGCATAGGTCTCTTTGGACTAAGAGTTGTAAAAGTATTATCAAAGTTACACCTGTTTTGCTCTCTGTTGCTTAGAAACACTGCTGCCAGCAGTGAATCTCCCTCTGCTTAAAGGACATATTCTTTGAATTGAAAATTGAAAATCAGACATTAAAATCTAACATCATGACATCTACCCATGACAAAAACTGTTGTCAAGCTGTAATAACAGTGTAATTATGAAAAACATGGGCACTGCATCAACGACTCCCCTTGTAGTTTTCCTTTTTCCCGGTCTGCCCTCTTTCCTGTTTGTTTTCTGGGCGCAATGCCGCTTTGCTGTGACTTATAGTCCACTTGCAAAAATTAAAACCCAGGCCAAAATTTAAAAAAAAGTCTCCTTTTTATCTGAGCCAAACGACCTCTCTGGTGTAAATACACTCTTAGTTACCATTTGGGTGGCATCTGATTAATTTTAAGGGATTTAAGAGTTAACAGAGTAAAATACTTAAGTGTTCCACATTTTTTAAACTAATTTCAATTTATAAACTTCCTGAAAACCCATTATCATTTTCCCCATTTTCTAAGTTATGCATCATTTTATATGCAATGTTTATATGCAATATAGTATTTCATAAAAAGGCCATTAGTTTAATTTCTTTAAAGGCTAAATATTAATTTTTATCTTATGGTACTATTTTTCTCTCTTGTGGTAACTCCACCTTTCCTTGTTCACATACTCTGCCCCTTGTTTCGAGAACCAACAGCAATTGTCCTCTTAATAAATTGTAACAAGCGAGATGTTAATGCACCATGTTTAATGTTTGAGTGCCTGGCTTTCCATGCATTTCATCTTCCCTGCACAGTTGGAGGTGTTATGTATTATGATGCGAGTCTGCCACATTATGTACACCAAAATCTGTTCTGATAGGTTGGGTTTTATATCAGAAATAACCATTTGTGCAACCAGAGAAATAAACAACCTTCAGATGTCACAAAGTAATAAAACATCCTTGGATAAGATTTTGGGATCTTTTTCCAATAATATGAGATTCCCCATGATGCACTGCAAAAGTCACAGATCAAATGTGTTAGCAAAGCATGAAAGCAAAGCAAGAAAGAAGAGTGCATCATCATTAGTCATCAGTTTGTAAAACATAGAATTAGCTTCTCTTTTGGGAGGTGGAGGATCTACTGTGATAAAACCGATAGGGCAATAACATCAGGTTAGGATGTGGCTTAACTGCATGGACAACGTTGGCCTAGAGAGAAATACAGCACTTAAGCAATCAGCCCTAATTAGAAATAAAGGCCAATTGTTGGTGCGGGGCAAATATACCAAACCATAACAATGATCTAACACTGATCTGCCTCAGGCTGAGGCAATGACTCTAATGACGTGTCTGATGTTTAGCTAAGACAAAGTCTAATGTTAAATGCAAATGTACCATTTGTAAGTATGTAAGTATTTTCTTTAAATTTTCTGGATCTATTAAGTTTAAACTATGAAATTTTTTACATTTAAAAAGAATTCATACAAAAGGCTGACAGGACATGGTGCATAATGGTGGGACAGGAAAGGACCCATTTAACAATTTCAAATATTTCAGAATACAAAACCTGAAAGTAAGTCCTTATTCATTTAACCACCTTTGGCTGCACACCTGAGGTAAATTTACACGACTTCTGCATAATATTAAAAACATTTTAAATATTTTTGAATATTCCAGTGAAGATATTTATCACATTTATCTACATATTCTGGAATACTCACTTTCTTTTCACTAACAAGTTCCCACTAGTCTTTAAGCTTTAGGATCTCGATCACTAGGACTTATTGCTGTGGGCTTAAAATGTATTATCTTATTGGAAAGCAAAGTTTTTATGTATAAACCTTTAAAATACACGAGTCTGCAATATAAAATATATGTTAGTAACATTACAATCCCTGATGTTGCAATGATGACTGCTGTTTGACAATAACTGTGCAGCCTCAGGCTACGTTCAAACTGAAGGCCTTAATGCTCAATTCAGATATTTTTTTTTTTAAATCAGATTTTTTTTTTTGCATTGCTGTTCACATTTCTAAATATGTGTGACTTATATATGGTCTCTTGTGTGAACGTCATTCATACAGCTTAAGTGTCCCAAAAGCACAATAGAGGACGCAATGACAGGCAAGCATGCTCTAAATTTATGGAACCAACCATGGATGGTAGTGCTGGAACTCTTCTAAAAAATTTTTACAACCTTAAAAACTCAATCTTTCAAGATGGTTAAAAAAAAAAGACTACTCTTCACATTATCATCCACCATGGTTGTTATTCTTCCCCTTCTGCATAGCAAGATGCAGAATAGTGACCTTTGTTGAGTATTAATGACATTCAGGTCAGATGAATGCAACCTGGCCGTTCAGACACACGTTTCATTTGAAAAGATCTGATTCGTATCGGATTCAGGACCACATAGCCAAGCGGCCTGGGTCGCATTGGAAAAAAATCTGATTTGTGAAGTTCAGACTGCCATGAAAAGATGAGATACAGGTCACATATGGGCAAAAAAAAAGCGGACTTGGGTCACTTCAGGCTGCAGTGTGGACGTAGCTTTAATCTCCACCAACTGGAGTTTTCTAAACATTCTAGTTTGCAAAAGTTTTGGTCAAGTTAAGCGGGACTTTATACAGAGCATAAATGAACATCAGATTCTAAACTGACTGGTATGTCAAAGATAGAGTTCTACTACTATAAACCAGATGTAAACTGAAATTAATAGGAATGTGAAACCACTTGGTGACAATGGCATTAAGAGTTTCAGACAACTGTAAGTGATGCTAACCAGATACATTAATTAGTAGAACAATTTAAAGGCCATGTGTAATTCATTCATTTATGAACACCTTTGCGTCAATGTACAGGAAAGCCAAATTCAAAGAGGCAACAGCAGTTTTTAGTAAAACAATAAATGCATAGAGTGTCAGACTTACAAGGCACTGCGTGGCGGTACAGGTTTTCTCTGATGGTCTGCTGCAGTTCGTGGTCAGGTGAGGACTTCTGGAAGCGTTGGCTTAGATAATGCTTCAGGTCCTTATTCAACTTAGTTCCTGGGAAGAAAAACATACACAAAAATCTGAATGTTAATGCATGATTTCACTAATAGCATTAGAACATCACCAGGAGAAGCAAAATCATACAGCTAACCCACAGCTACGTGTCAAATGACCAGAGCACTTGGCTCCCAACAAAAGCAGCGAACAAGTTGATCCTGCTGAGCCGAGCGCCGCGCCTTGACCACGGTCCCCACAGAGGAATGGCTAGTAGACATTTCTCCTACCATCTTGGGACAGACAAAACTAGGACTACTGGCAGTAAGGCTAACACCACAGAGGAGGCCTCCCACAGCTACACCATCTGGACCTCAGACACACATTAGGCTACTGTAGGGCCGCCTGACTGGAGAGGGTCCGTGTGTCTCTGCCTAATGTGTTTTCTTCTTGTCTTTTCTTTTCCAAAAGAGTAACCCCACTTTTTTGGCATAGCTTAATATGAAAACAGCATGACAAAACAAGCGACAAAAACATTGATGGTGGAAGCAGCCGGCTAAACCAAAAAATAAAAAGAAAGAGGAGAGCCTGTTTAGCTGCTGATCAGAGCTTCGTCTAAATGTCACTTTCTCCTGTTTAATACAATGTGCAATTATTTACTGTACAAATGATTTATCTCCCATCTTAGCATGACTGTTGAGAACACTTTTTTGGTTGTCTCGGGTGCACAACCAGTCATAAAAGGCCCTGGATCCTGTTTCCATGGAAACTGTGTGCGTACGTGTGTAAATGTGTATCAGATGAATGGGGTTGTTAGCACAGTGCAGAAGAGCATTTTGTACTAAAATCTATAGAATATAGATTTATCCTTTTTTCTTCCATCAAAATATAGCATGTGTAACGGTAATTGATCCCCCCCCCAACGAAACACCACGTCTGCCTCGAAGTGTTCCCTGTTTAGCTTTAAAAGTCTGGTGATATACGTAAATGTCAACCTAAAGACTTTAAACTCACTGTCTGATGATATTTTATGTGAGGAAAACTTTGCTTCTTTTTAGTTACTAAATGAAATCCACCTAAACAGGTATAAATCTCACAGCAAATCTCTGAAAACATGTTGTAGCTGGATATGTAGTGTAGAAACTGGTTAGTGACTAAAATCAGCTGATTGTTACTCTAGACAAAAACTGACTGGTGTCCATCAGGATGGAAGCTATAAAAACTGACCTTTTCCTGATCCGTGAATGCACCGTATGTAAGCACTTCAGAAGAAGCTCAAAGGATGTAAGGCAAAAAAAGCAAAAACTTTATTTTCTACTGATGCCCATCAGCTGAAAGTTGACCTTTTCCAGGTGTTGTTTTGAGATTTACATCGTCTTCTTTTCTTTTTATAGAGCAAATCAGAGACCTTCCTTACTGCTGTTGGAAAACCAACTTTTACTCAGAGTACATCATCGACACTTAAATACAGAAGATAACTTTTCCCTCCACATTACTTAAATATGTCCTCCTGCAGTGCGTGACATTTGCAATGTTTCTGCTCTGGATATTTTATTAGAGAAAGAAACACAAAATTATGCTAGTTTAGTTAGCTGCTATAGAAAACTAAATATTAACTTTAAATCACCTCGTCTCTGTTTTTCCTGTTGACCATACCCTCTTATAACCCGCACAGTAACATCCACTCTACCTACCTATAGAAACAGAATTTAAGGAGGCAAAGATCCACATCTTTCGCATTTAAATCTGATTCTGATTTTCTACAGATCCTAGAGTTGCACAATAAGGCTTCAAAAATCAAATCTCTTAATTTTTTTGCAACCCACTCCAATTGCTAAATTGTGATTTCCCCCAAGTTTCATAATAAACACGATAGATGACATACATTACTTTCAAAATTTAACTTTTGGTCCAATTTTCCGAAAATTTAATTTGAATAATTTATTTTGTCGATGAATCCTGACAGTTTTCAGCTAACAGAGCTCTGTTAGCCTTAATGGTATTGTCGCTATTGCTGATTTTATAAAAGCTGTCATACACTCTCTCTACATGCAGGTATGATAAGTACAGATCTACACATGTATTTACCAAAACATTACTTTAGCAGAAGGTCAAAAAAAAAAGTTAAAGAGCAAACAAACTAGAAATCATGTTAAGAGGATTGATTTCATTCTGAAAACAAATATGCCGCTATAAGGGTTCAGGCTAACTGCATTTATTACGAAAGACAGAAGCCCAGTAAAAGGGTCAAAGTTTCCTGCAGTTCTAGAAATTTCCAACCTAACTTAAATCTATTACAGCAAAGGTTTGAATATATCTACCCTAATGGGTCAGACCCATTTTCACCAATACCCAATAAAGAAAACTTAAGAACCGATATTACTATTGGATTGCTGCATTTCTAGTAAGAATATCTACGAAGTTAGAGCTTTGCCGGCCTACATTATAATTTTTAAAGTAAAATGGAAACAACTCAGTATGCATGGGTCAAAATTTTACTAAACTTGTGAGTTCCGCGTCTAAAAACATTGATCAGTGCATCTTTGAGTCCAGTAATTTAGAAATGGTGGAGAAATGACATCTTAAAGGTATAGAGAACAATCTTTTATTTCTGGGTGGATCATCTAAATAAGTGGTCCTCCTAATAGTCAATCATTCTGATATGTTTATGTTAGGCCGTCCTATGTGCTCATCCAGTAAGCTATCTTTTTCTGTGCATGTGTACTTTCAGGCATATATGTGTGGTGAGCTACGGTTTCAGACAGTCATTGAAGCTCACCTTTACCGTGGCGCAGTCACCACACAGTTGAGGAGTTATATGACCAACAGAGCAAAAAGCAGTGATCATCTGTCTGAACGGTCAGTTAACTAAGTTTGCTATAAAGTCTACTATATAATTACCGCTCTATATAGTGATTGAGGGATTTGGGGGTTAGGGCGGACGTTTGGGCACAGTAAGCTTGTATGAGCTATGAGAACAGCAAATTTTAGACGGAGCGTGCGCTAGGACAAATGGGCTCGTGCACGCTCTGCAACGCACGTGGAGATAGCGGGTCTTTTCTAAAAAATTGAAAAAAGTCCTTCAAAATACCTTTTATATTTGAATACCAATTTACATATGCTATTTATTTTTTTATGGGAGAATACTATGTTGTTAAAAAGCAAAGAGTAGATCTTTGCCACACTGTATACGATGATCAGGAGATCTAACCCTACCAGAAGGTCACAGGTCAAACTTTGGGCCAAAAGGGAGCAAACTAACTTAAATAATTAGTCTGACACAAGAAGAAACAGATTGATGGATACTTGGATTTTTTATAACATTTATAGAATCACCTGATTGCCCATTTATAGCTACAGTGTGTAATTTTCAGCGACATCTAACGTTCAGACTGCAGACCGCAGCAACATGAACATCTCCCCCCCAACAGTACGGCGAGCGTTACGGGACAAAATGTCCACGACGTCCGCATCACCTACCTTCTCAAGTGATGAGGTTTGTTTACATAGATAATTTTACAGATAGTATTTCATTAGTCTGTGTAGGGTATAGATTTAATGTAGACTTAAGATAATAAATATCGAACGTAATGGGCGATCTCGCAATCGCTAGTTTGTTGGCTCTGCGCTGCCGTAGCGCAAAGATGTCTGCCTCCATGGCTGCGAGACCCGCTCCTATGTAATTATAAATAACGAATTCTATTAAATATTAAGGTTAAGAGGCTGAGCTCGTAGATGATGATAAATAACATAGTTATGTATAATATATTACATTTCTGACTGTATATCCCTGTAATTATTACACACTGTAGCTTTAATATTTAGTGTAATATTATTCTTTTTTTAATACAATTCATGAATACAAAAGTAATAGTCTGTTCAAGTACGAAACGAAAGCTTAGGATGAGATGTTAAAGTCTACCTCAATCTGAATGATCAGAGATATGCAAACAGAACCTCAGGGAGACATACTAAAAACTTATCTAGATCTTTTGCTCTCTCACTCGCTCTTTGTGGATCCTTGTCTCGATAAAACAACACGACTTTCATAAAATGAACAGACAGCCTTTAAAGTCACGACAGTCTGAAAAACAAGGTCCTCAAGGGCTGCTCTGCTGATGAAGGAGGGAGAGGTAATTATGGAGGGATGTGCTGATTAAGTAGATAGTGATATTTGCTGTTCCTCTGCAGCTGCACTCTGCCAATAACGGATCACAACCCGGTGTCAATAGCTTGCATTCAATAAAGGCTTTCTGACTGTAGAAATGAATATCGATACACAACTCGACTGCTAATTGAAGCTAGATTGCAAAGGTGAACAAATCTGATTAATAAACGAACTGCCTCCTTATTTCCTTTGGAAATCTACCCGTCTTTTATAAGACGGGGAGATCTGTAAGATGAATTACAGAATCATAAGTGGCCTGGTTAATGTTATCCTTCGGCATTCTAATCTGATTGTCAGGTCTTTGACTAGGACACTACAAAAACTTTGTTTTTGTGCAGACATTACGCTTTAGGATCATCTGTTAAAAAGCTAAATTCATGGTTTCATCAACTACAGCAAGAGGTCCTGAGCAGCCAGCCCCAGACCACTACACTACCACCACCATGTCCAACTGTATGATACTTTAGTGATGATGCAACAGGTTGCACATCGTCCAAAAAGGATGTCTTTTCTCTAATTAATCCAACAAATATTTTCCCTATAAGTGATTGTGAAGTTATTATGGGAAACATCTTAATAAGAGCCCAGCCTTTGTGGTCTTCAGTCTCTAGAAAGATACGTGCCTCGGTTAAGAGTGTTCAAGATAAAAAAAATAAATAAGAGTCAGAAGCCTGTAAACATCATTCCTCATCTGTCCTTGAATTAGTTTTGAACAGGCACTTTCTTTGAGATCATTTAGCCATGTTCTAATTAAGCCAATTACAACAAAGTGAAACAAAATATCTCCTACTGTAATGAGGCTGGTACCCTTTTCCTTATATTTTAAATCACATTTTTGGTTCTTTGAATTCTCTTTCCAACAGATGGAGTTCAGTTTTTTTTTCTTTAATCT